TGTAAACAAAACAGAAGTTGTTCTTCTTTTTTTAAAATAGGCCCTGGAGCAGATAAGAACAGAAAGGAAAAAATAGGACATTTTAGTTTACAAATGCAGAAAAGCAGCGTGATTTATATTACATACCAAAAAAGAATCCAATTACATTCTGCAAATATTAAACTATTTTGCTGAGTTAACATACGACTGAAGACAGGGAAAAGCAACCACACTGTTAAGGGATTGCAAAACATACTCTGAATTGTTATACTTACTTCTCTGATTCAAAATCTCCCTGCTCTTCAAATTTCACAGTGTGCCTTATTAATCTCCACTGCTTAATGTCTGGTGTTGGATTCCAGAAGACCTCTGAATTATCAGTCTTTTTGTCATTAATAAAAACTTCACTATCCTATATTTAAAGAAATTAAAAATTAATGTAAAGAATTATCTTTATTTAAAAGGGAATTATATAGTTTAGTAATAAGATAATAATTTCTTCTGATACTTAATCCCACAATGAAATACGTTTTCTAACAGCCTCAAATCTCATCATCCTTATAAAAACAGTAAGATTAAATATATAATACTTGTCATTTTAAAAAATTGGTTGAATACACAGAAAGTTTGTAAGATTTCAAAGTTTCACTCAATAAACAAATTTTAGACAATTACATGCAAAGCCTCAACAACCATCTCCGAATTGTCAAAGTAGAGCATAGTGTTTGCTTTAGCTATAATGAGATGCTGCAGACTATGTATTCTGTACATGTAGAAAAGCCAAAGAGCCTTTCTTAGCATTAAAAATTTGAGCAGTGTTATAAATTTCATTATAAAAAAGACAGTTTTTATCTTTTTTCCAAATGATATTCAGATAGAAGTAAATCTTAAAAATTAATGGAGTATATGTGGCCTCTTAGATGAATCTCTGGATCCATTTTCATTTTCTCATATTTTTCATCATCTGATTATAATGCAGAAAATAGCATATAGCAGTGTTTACGGTGAGAGTGCATTTGGTAGTAGCATGATATGATCCTTTTTATTAATTTAAGCACCTCTTAATAAAATTACATAAATGTGAATTTAGGTCAGCAGAAAAATAAATAAAAGCCATTGCTCTCAAAAACTGCTATATCCTTTCCATGTTCCTCAAAGGGAAATATAATTTCAAATGGAAATGCCTCTTTCATCTGATGAGAGGCCGTATACTGCTGTGTGTAAAAGCACAGCTCTGGAGCCAGAGTGCCTGGCTGGAATTCTTACTCCACAATTTTGATCAACTTATTTAAACTCTCTGTGCCTCAGTGTCCTCCTCTGTAAAATGGGAACACTAATTATACCCACCTCATTGGGTTATTATATTAAATATTAAATGAGTTAATATAAATAACATATTTAAACAATGTAATACCTGGTAAGTGATATATGTTAGCTATGTTTATTGATTTAAAGTTTTGGAAAGATAAAATATATAACACTAAATACTGCTGATGGCAGATTAATACCAAAGTATTTATTAAGTTAGTTTATATTGAATAGTGATGTTTTTAGCAATGAAACAAGTGAACTTACAATAAACTGTAATTCTTAACTTTTTCCCACAGAATAAAATTGTTTTTGTAAAGCTATAATATAAAAATACTTACCCAATGTCCTTCCAGAGTAGCTAAGACTTCTTTTCCCAGTTTTAGTTTCCCTGATATTTGATTAACACAGTCACTACTACCTAAAAATGGCTTTTAAAAGAAAAAATGTTGAAAAAATATTTTACTTTTAACTTATACTTACATACAATGCAGACAAAAAACAACCAAAAAAAGTAACTGTATAGTTACAGTGCTGTTGAAGGCACAAATGATGAAATACTGACTCAAAATTTAGTCAGCAATGTTCAATAGAAATAAATTTAAATTTGTTGCTATGGAAAATGTAGGTAAAAACAGACTATGTGAAGTCCAAATAAACATATTAAGAAAGATCACACTGAAGTAACTGACTTGTATCCTGTGCTCTCTCCTGACTCTATCAATGTTGCAATATTTTAAGCAATAAGAAGTCAGTAAACATAAGATACTTACCTCATCTATTGAAAGAAATAGCAACTCCTTCTTTAAAACAATACCCAACCAAAAGTTTAAAAACTTCCAAAAATTAAATTATAAGGAATATATTATTATATTGCCTTACTGATGTCTCTCCTCACTGACAAAATTTTGATGCTCTAATCTAATCCTTAAAGGTGTCATAAATTACTTAAAGCCTCTTCAGTCATGATTTTCAAATATCATTATCACCATACAAGTGAAAAATTTGCTACGAAGAAAAAAAAATCAAAGGGGATTGCATCAAATAATACTTGAGATCCTTTTTATTAGAGATATCAATATAGGAACAATTTAGTTGTAAATATTAAATGATTCACAGAAACATTTTTATCTAAACAATGTACTGTCCAACACCAACAAAAGATACTGTGAAAATGTCTTATACTT